CAAGTTGATGCACAATTCAGAAATTTTAGAGGTACTCAAAAAAAAAGTTTCAGGTGATGCTGGTGGGCTGGGTTCTCTCCTACCAATGAGCAATCAAGAAAATATGGCATAGGCATGCTTGTAGGCCAATCTAATGGAGGCAGTCTCTCAGATCCCTCTTCTCAGATGACTCTCAACCTGGTTGTGCCAAGTTGACAAGAAAAACTAGGACAAAGACTAAACACTGTTGGTCTTTTAGACCAACAGTTTTAACCATATTTTGCTTTTGCTTTTCTTTTTTATGCTGTGCTCAGAAGTGATTTGTTCAGTTTCTGTTTTAAAAGAAGCTATGTCCTAATTCCTCTTGGAAACTTCTTATGTTGTCATGGTCACATCTGTTACCAACAGATCCATGTGGTGCTTTGCAGATGAATCCATAGATACTACTTAACACCTTCAGGAGTTTCCCATCCAGGAAGTATTTAGAACCACTGAAAATCCAGCACTTACCTGCTGTAGCAGGCACTTCACATGCTCTAGTTAAGCATGTCCTAGGTCGTTGCTGTGGCTACTTATGTCTATCCTATGCTAAGCAATAATACAAAAAACAGATCTTAATATGGTGCAGTTCAGCTTTAAGTCAGGCAGCAGGCTGATTCTCAACCGTATAACAAAGAGTTGTAGAATGTTTAAAAGCATTTTTCAGGAGAAACATGGCTGTGTTTATTAAGACAAAGGAATTTTTTAGAGTTGAAAACAGATTGATGTTATGCTTTTTCTTTCTTTTTTCCTTGTATGCTTTTGTGTATGCGTATGTGCTTGTGTGTGTGTGCACACTCATGTGCAGTGTTAGAGACTCAATCCAGAGTCTTTCACATGCTAGGAAACTGCTGTGCTGCTGACCTTTGCTTCTAGCCCAAGGTTATATTTTTCTAATACACCTTGCACAGTGGGAAAAGAAGACAAATACTGTAAAATTGAGAGGGACAAATACAGTAGAATTCATTGTTTGGGTGTGGAAATCTCATTTAAGACATGTGTATTGGGCTAGACACCAGTCTATGAGTATAGCCCAGTATCATTAGGCATCATTACATTTACCTTATTTCTTTTCTTCAGTCATGTTTGGGTGTATCCTAGGTCTCTGCATCATCCGGCTCATGATTCCTGGCAATCCAGGCAGTGTCAGTGGTGGCCTTACTCTTAGGGCATGTGTCTTAGGCTAGACCAGTCATTAAGAGGCTTCATCCAGCAGCTGATGGAAACAGAAACAGAGACCCTCAGCCAGACATTAGGCTGAGCTCGGGGAATCCTGGTGAAGAGAGGGAGGAAGGATTGTAGGAGCCAAAGGATTCAAGGATATCACAAGAAAACACACAGAATCAACTAACCTGGGCTCATAGGAGCTCACAGTGTCAGAATGGGCCATCAGGGAGTCTGAATGGGACTGACGCAGGCCCTCTGCCTATATGGGACAGTTGTGTAGGTTGGTCTTCTTGTAAAACTCCTAACAGTGGGAGCAGGGGCTGTCTCTGACTCTTTTACTGACATTTGGGATCCTATTTCTCATACTGGGTCTCCTTGCCCAGCCTTAATGCAAGGCAAGGTGCTTAGTGTTACTGAAACTTGACATTCCATGTTTTGTTGCTATCCATGGGAGGCCTGCCCTTTTCTGAACAGAAATGGGGGAGGGAGCGGGACTGGGAGGAGAGGAGGGAGGTGAAGTTTCCGGCAAGATGTAAAATAAATAAATAAATAATACGTAAATAAAAATGCTTTCTTAGGACAAAATGACCAACAAGAATGAAAAAAACAGTGATTCTCAGGATAATATGTAGAATGTACTTAAAAAAGATGTGTATTCTGCACCTACTATGTATATTGTGGTGCTTAAGTCACTGCCAATTGTAAATATTAATAACATGCATTGTTTCCTTGTGGAGACTAAGGAGGTATCGAAATAAGAGAGCTGAGGTGGCTTGTAGTATCAAGGGAAAAGAAGTGATGTCATAATTGTTGCAGAAGTAGGATCCATAAACTTGAATGGCAGAGTCTGAAAGTTGGTGCAAATTGTATCAGAGCTGAAGTTGTAGCAATGGTGTTTAGCTCAGATGGCTTCGGAGATGGTGGTGTCTTGAAGTTGGTGCTTGGGATTAGTGAGGAGAGTCAGGTATGGATACATGGTAAAGTCAGGTCTCTCAGATCAGATGCTACTAGTATGACAAGTAGCAGTACAAGCCAGATTCTCATGATAGAAAAGTTTGTGTTGGAGCTAATGCAGTACGAAATCACCTGTGAAATGTGACTGGAGATAGCAAGTTGGTGACACCCGAGGTGGCTCATGTTTTCAGTGTCAGTAGAGGCAAAATGATTTGTCAGAGGAGATAATGGGGACTTTGGTGTTTTGTTTTTATTGCTACGTTTTACTGACTTTCTCAATTAACTTTGAAATTTCTAGTCAGGATTTTGTCATGTAGCTAGCCTTGAACTCCTGATCCTGCTCCATCAGTCCCGCATTGCTGCGATTACAGGCGTGTGCCACTTTGCTCATTAGGGACTTGAGGTTGGGTAAATCTCACGGAAGGAAAGAGGATTAATTAGCTATCATGAATGACCACAGGAAGTTAAAGAAGATGAGACCCAGGCACATGCCTGTGGTCCCTGTACCTTGGAAGCAGATGCAGGAAGATCAGGAGTTCTAAAGGCCAGCCTTTTCTAAGCAGTGAGTTCAGTTAAGTGCTGCCTGAACTATGGAACCTTTCTTAAAGAAGCAAAAATGAAAGATCTTGAGATTTGATGTCTTAGTTACTTATCTGTTGCTGTGATAAGACACCATGATGAAGTCTTTCAGTTTGGGGATCGTGACTGGAAGCATGGTAGCTGGCAGGTAGTCATGACCCTGTAGCAGTTAGCACCTCAGAGCTCATGTTTTGACATACAACCACAAGGCAGAGGAGAAAACTGAGAGTGGTCTGAGCTTTTGAAACCTCAAGAGTCCTCTCCCAGTGACACACCTCCTCCAACAAGGCCACACCCAAACCCTTTCCAAACAGTTCCACCAGCTGGGGACCATTCCTCCAGTCAGACCATCACATTTGATGGTTAACAATTGACCAGACAATAGTGTTGGAAAAGGAGGAAGGATGTTGGGAGACAGTTTTATAAAATATTAGAGATTTCAGTGGCTGGGATATTGCACATAAAGGGACTAAAACATGAAGTCTTTGTTACAGTGACCACTTAAAAGATGAATTCTGTTAAGAACTAAGGATTATCTTTTTAATTGACTGCTACTTAGCATAATACTGCTTGTCTCAGCAACTGTAACAGAATGTTGGAGTAATTGCTCACTCACCATTTGTCACAGCTCTTATGGAACTAGTAACTGTATTACAGCTAAGAGTGGATTAATGTGGGAATCCGTGAATTCTCTCTTCAGATTTCTTCCTAAATAGGCTGTTATAGGTGGAAAGCAGTTACTTCATTTTCTTATGTAGATAGCAGAAATGTAAAATTTATTTGAAAATTTGAATAATGATAAAGCAAAGCCCTCTGTTATCCCACAGGTGGAGTGAGGCTGTGTTTGATGTCAGGAGGACTCAGGATGGGCAGTGGAAGTCAAGGGTAACATGGCTAGAGCAGGGAGTTAGGGTTTAGAACTCTGAACATGACATCTATCCTGCATCCTTGACATTGTTTGCCCTTGTTTGCTTTCTTTTTTTAAAATAATAATTATTTTTTATTTAGGTTAGAAACAATCTTGTTTCACATGTTAATCCCAGCTCCCTCCCTTTTTTGCTTTCTCACCACAAGCAATTTGGGGAGAAAAAGGTCAATTTGGCTAACATGTCCCAATCATAATGAGTGTGTCATTGTGGAAAGTCAGGGTAGGAACCCAAGCAGGAGCAGAGGCAGGAACCATGGAGAAACCATGCTGCCTGCCTCACTCTTCATGGCTTGCTTAGCTGAGCTCTCCCACATCCATCTGTGATCAGAAAATGCTACACAGACACGTGAGGGTGATCAGTAGTGCAGCTGTGACAATGAAGGGTGAGCAGCAGTGTGGCTGTGACATCAGGGTGAGCAGCAGTGAGACTGTGACATCAGGGTGAGCAGCAGTCAGTGCGGCTGTGACACTGGGGGTGAGCAGCAGTCAGTGTGACTGTGACACTGGGGGTGAGCAGCAGTCAGTGTGACTGTGACACTGGGGGTGAGCAGCAGTGAGGCTGTGACAATGAAGGGTGAGCAGCAGTGCGGCTGTGACACTGGGGTGAGCAGCAGTCAGTGTGGCTGTGACACTGGGGGTGAGCAGCAGTGTGACTGTGACACTGGGGGTGAGCAGCAGTGAGGCTGTGACATCAGGGTGAGCAGCAGTGAGGCTGTGACACTGGGGTGAGCAGCAGTCAGTGTGACTGTGACATCAGGGTGAGCAGCAGTGTGGCTGTGACATCAGAGTGAGCAGCAGTGTGACTGTGACATCAGGGTGAGCAGCAGTGAGGCTGTGACATCAGGGTGAGCAGCAGTGAGGCTGTGACATCAGGGTGAGCAGCAGTGAGGCTGTGACATCAGGGTGAGCAGCAGTGAGGCTGTGACATCAGGGTGAGCAGCAGTGAGGCTGTGACATCAGGGTGAGCAGCAGTGAGGCTGTGACATCAGGGTGAGCAGCAGTGTGACTGTGACACTGGGGTGAGCAGTTTGGTAATTTTGTTTTATTCACATCACATTTCTGGATGTAAGTTGTGTGTGTGTGTGTGTGTGTGTGTTTTGAATTTCTTTTGAGCCTTATATTATGGTGGCTCAGCAAACAGTTTCATGTGCATGAAAGTCGAATATTCTGTTGGGAAACTTCAGTTCTGACTACAAAGCCATGGGAAACAAAAGTTACAAGTTCTCCAAGGCAAAGTAGATCATCTTCTTGTTTAGACTCATAGTGTACCGGTAGCTGTGTTAACACTGTCATTTATGGTGGTTCTCCCAGAAGTCTACTAAATAATTCTATGTTCTGTTTACTCTATTTACAGAGTTACAAATTTTGTCAAGGAAAACTACAGCTGATTTTAGATCAGTTGGACCCTGGGCAACCTAAAGAGGTAAGTTTAAAGGAGAGCTGTTTTGTTCAGTAGGATACCATGCCCTTGTCTGGACTGCATTCAGTAGTAGCTGGATGTTTGTTGTTGTGGTGGTGTTTGTTGCTTGATTTTGTTTTGTTTTTTTGTTTTTTTTAGATGCTAGGCCTTTATTATTATAAGCAGTCTTGGGTTGGTTACCATGATTAGTTTTTCTCTCACATCGTGTTCCCTCCCTCCCTTCTTCCCTCCCCCTTTCCCTCCCTCCGTCCCTCTCTCCTTTCATTCCTTCTTTTCTTTTCTTCCCATGTGTCTACAGGGCATGTGGGTTCATGTATATGTGTGTGTGTGAAATCTAGAAGTCAACATCACTTGTCATCCTTTGTTGTTTACCGTCTTGTTTATCTGTTTTGAGACAGGGTCTTTTACTGAACCTGGTGCTCACTGGTTGTCTGAACTGGCTGGCTTATGAGCTAGTTTCCTCCATTGCTGCCCTCTGACGCCCAGTGTTAGAGTTACAACTGTGCCTGGCTTTTTATGTGGGGCGGGGATGTGAACTTAGGTCCCATGTTCGCCCAGGGAGAATTTCTCTAGAGATTTATTTTGGTTTGAGGAATATACATATCCATTTGTTTTCTCCTAGCTTCAGTTTGAAAGGGATAAAGCTGTGTGTGGTTGTTTACATAGTTATCCCTTTCTAATTGTTAAGAAACCTCAGTGCTTGTTTTGTGTTTATAAAATGTGAGCATCTATTAAAGGTAATTTTTAATAGACAGCATGATATCAACACAAAACAAGCACTGAGGTTTCTTGATTACTAGTAGAAAATGCTAAATTGGATATGAGACCATTTAAACTACTTTTATATATTAAAAGCTTGGTCTTAAATTTAAATTGATTACAGCCGGGTGGTGGTGGCAGCGCACGTCTTTAATCACAGCACTCGGGAGGCAGAGGCAGGCGGATCTCTGTGAGTTCGAGGCCAGGCTGAACCGTCAGCCTCCAAAAAAACAATACAGAAACCCTGTCTTGTAAAAAACCAAAAAAAATTTTTTTAAATTGATTACTTGTAAATATGTTCTTGTTTAGAAATCTTTCTTCTGGGTATATTACAAGTAGTAAATTCTTAATGGGATTTTGTTCTACAAGTTACCTGTAAATGTGAAATTACTTAATATTGGAAAGTCTTTGATTTTCCAAACCCTCTTTCTAACCTTGCTAATGCCTGTCACATGGGTGTGTTTAAGCATTGTTCCTCGATGGGACTCTGTAGCATCCTGCATTTCCCTCTCATCTGAAACAGTCTGTGATGGAGGTTTCTGCTGTCTCACTGTCACTCCCCGCGTTTGATTGGTTCCACGTTACCGGACTTTGAGTAGAAGCTTGGCCTTGCTGTGTTGCTTTTTAACAGTTGTGAGAGCGCACATGAAGCCTTGCTCTACTGAAGTGGAGCCTTGTCCACTTGGGTCCCTTGGGCCGTAGTGTTTGGGGGAATTCTGATTGGATTCTGTGATGATTAGGAAGCAGCCCTTCTGGGGGAAGGCAGAGATTCAGTTTTGCATTTCACCCCTGAATTAGGTTTCAGCTTCAGTGGCTAGAAGGCAGAAAACGTGGTCCAGCGGAAAAATGAAAACGCTTGATCAGACTATTCCCTGGGAGTTGTTCACTGGGGTGGGAATGCTTTCCCAGTGGCTCTGTGGGCAGTGTGCTGGAATTAAATCCGGCAGTCTGCAGCATCTCTAGCGGGAGGCTTATGAGAGTGGGGGTGTCTAGGATGAGGCTCCTGGAAAATGCTGTTTGGCGAGTCCAGTGCAGTCACCATCCATTTCTCTTAACTGAGACACAGTCATAGTACACTTACTGTTTCAGATTCCGTTACAAAAGACAGCCCAGCCTGTTTTTGTTTTCTCTATTTAGCACTTAGTTCACATAAAAGTCATTTTACAAAAGGACATCTGATTCTCAGAAGTGACTCATTAAAACATAGCTTCTCTGGTTCTTCTTTTGGTAGGTTGTTAAATATCCTGGAGGATTGAGATTGTAGCATTAATGATGTTGTGATTTTAAAATCTGTAGGTGAGATATGAAATTGTAGCATTAATGACGTTGTGATTTTAAAATCCGTAGGTGAGATATGAAATTGTAGCATTAATGACGTTGTGATTTTAAAATCCGTAGGTGAGATATGAAGCCTTACAAACGCTGTGCTCAGCTCCTCCATCTGATGTTCTCAACTGTGAAAACTGGACCACTCTCTGTGAAAAACTGACCACATCCCTGTCTGATCCAGATCCTATGTTCACTGTAAGGAGACAGCCATGAATCCATTATTGGGATCCCAACAGTTTCCTTAGTAGCTCAGCTGTGGAACTTCAGTTTAGGGTTTTAGATTACAAGAGAGACAGGAGGCAGATGGTCATGGGAAAACCGGATCTCCAGATACAGTTATCTGTTTTAAATCATACTTGTCTATCAGTGGCGATAGTATTAAACTGGTGGGGGGGGTGAAGAAATGATTTGGGAAACACTTTTGTTAGTTAGATCAAAAGAAAAAGAAGCTTGCCTAATACTTGGATGCAATTCAAAGTTACAAACTCTAGGAAATAGTCTACACTTGTATCAAATCTTTGATATGAGGACTTCAAGGGGGTGTAAAAAAGATAATCTTAGGGTCACCTTTAGCATTTCACAGCTAAGAAGAAATACAGTTGTCATTTTGTCAGTATCTGATGGAAGAGAGTCATGTTTGAATATATTTTAAAAATGGTAACTTTATAAAGATGTTAGAAGTTTCTAATGGGCCATTGCAACTTACTTTAGCTATTGTACATTACCGTGCAGCAAGATTCAGCTCATTACTGGAGTTTACAAATCACAAACAATTGTTATAAAGAAAACTGGAGATAGGATCAAATCATTTTGGACAAGTATGGCACCCTTTTATTTTAAGCAGGTGCTGCATCTAAATCGCTAGCTACATCATTATTGTTCTATACAACTGCTATGTGCAACTGGCTGAAGCCTGTGGCGGTGAGTTGCTGCAACTATTAGCATGGACTTCAAACACTTCACAGGCTTTGTGCAGTGGGACTGTCTTAAGAGTCATTGGAAGATATCATTAATCATCCGGGGACTTATTTCCTGTGAAGATATTAGCCTAGGTGATATAAACAAGGTTCTTAATTTTGTTCCTGTAGATTAGAAAATGTGAGGCAAAATTGGTTTTATTTAATGGCAACTTGTATTTCACTAGTAGAATTACTCTTCTCACAATATTCAGGTGGTTTGAAAGAAAATAAAGGGACAGGCACCATTTTAAGTCTTACTAGTGTCAGGCACATTTTAACTACATTTAGTTCTTATTCAGTTTACTTTGTGATATTTGCTCTGTAAGTTTTGATAAATTTAAAATTAAAACTTTTATGTAGTATTTTTTTTCTAGTGAATAGGCACCGTCCCGAGAAAGACCCCCAAGTGTTTTTGCTTAAGTTAAATATAGGAAAGAATTCTGGACTTGGGAAGGAGAGGTCTTGAAATACAGTGTTGCCTGTGGGTCCACTGCTGAATGACGCCTTTAAATAAGGACTGTAGACCCTCCATGCAAGCCTCCAGCCTCATTGCACAGCACCCCTGACCCTCCTTTCCTGTGTTTTCTGCTCCCATTACCTGCTCTTACAAGATTCCACAGCAATGCCTTTTGTCATCTGTTTTACTATTAGTTGTGGGCAATTTTACTTTTGCCTGGGCAAGAATATGCCTTTTAAAGAAGACATACCCTTCATCTGGTTTTGGATAGTGTATTTTGTATTTACTTTCTGTTTAAATGTGTAAAGTGTTTCCTTTGTGCTATTGTGAGAAGCTTAGATGAGGATGTTCTGTCTCTTTTCTGTAGGACCGGATTTTAAAGTTCTATGCACAGACTTTTACACTGTCACCGTTACACATGACCAAGGAAATTTATACAAGTCTAGGTATGTTTATTCTATCACTTCAAATGTTTTTCTTTTATATGTACTTAAAAATGCATAAGAAATGACTTTTTCCAGAAGCATTGTGTAGTATAATGGTTATATATTTTCATTTTTGCTTTCAGCTAAATATCTGGAGTTATACTTTCTTTCTAGAGAAAATCACATTCCTACTCTTTCAGCTGGAGTAGATATAACCAGTCCTAATGTGATCCGCTTACTGAAAAAGGTATCCATTTACTGCAATGTACATTATGTAAAGTAGGTCTGTTATTTCAGAATTACACTGTCTTGAGAGATTTTGTACGCTGCTTACAGGTTCGCCTTCTGAATGAATATCAGAAAGAGGTTCCATCTTTTTGGATTCGTCACCCAGAGAAGTAAGTCTCTCAACTCAGGTGATATAAGGCATGGGCTATGCCCTTCAGATATTTCCAACAGAGAAGGAAACAGTGGTCTTTGGGGACTTATATGGTTCAATGTGCTGCTTAGGTTTTGTCAGCTCGACACAAAATAGAATCACCCAGGAAAGGAAGTCCTCGATGGAGGAATTGCCTTCATCACACTGGCCTTTGGGGGCATTTTCTTAACTTCACATTGATGCATCAGGGCCGCCTGTGGACGGTGCCTTCTGTAGGCGCATGGCCTGGGCTGAGTGAGAAAAGGGTTTAGTGAGAAACAGGAAGCAGGCTTGAGGAGGCAAGCGAGTACAGCGCCTCCATGGTTTCTGCCTGAAGCTCTGTCTTAGAGTCCTGTCCTGGCCTCCCTTGATGATGGAGTGTAACTTATAAACAAAGTGACCCTTTCCTCTTCAAGTTGCTTTGTGGTCATGGTGTTTATCACAGCAACATAGAAGCACACTAGGAGAGAGAGTATTGATAGTTTCTCTTTGCTATGTGTGTGTACCTAGATGTGGAAATAGCTCCACCCAAGTATTGTTTCATGTCCCCCACAACTCTGTGAAAGTAGGATGTTGAGGTCTTGGGTTCTTAGTGATGTTTGCTACTTTGGAGAAGTCTTAAAAAATTCGGATACGATTATAAGAGCATCTGTGTGTCTAAAAGTAAAAGTTACATTTGGAGACTTGAGTGTTAAAGTAGAAACAACCTAGGTTTTTAGAACAGAAAAACTGACTGTGGCTCTTAACGTCTACCTTTTATAGAAAACACAAAAGAAATTCTGAAGATTACATCCCATATTGTTATTCTATAAGGACAAGGACATCACTGATCTCACACCCACTAACCACTGTTTGTTTATTTTTTAAAATTACTTCTTTCCCAAAATCTAAGGTATATGGAAGAAATTGTGGAGAGTACTTTGTCCCTGTTATCAGTCAAACATGATCAAAGCCATCTTGTCTCACAGAAGATTTTGGATCCCATCTATTTTTTTGCATTAGTTGATACTAAAGCTGTGTGGTTCAAAAAATGGATGGTAAGGAAAAGTTGCTTTTTTTTTTCTCTATCATTTTAGAGACTAGCCAGTTTTATGTGCTCGGTGTATGCTGAGTTCTAATTGTTTTTTGCACATGTTAATGCCTTTAACCTGTACACGGATGTGGTGGCAGGTGCCGGTGCCCTGTTTGGGGACTGTCAGATCTAAGGTATGGGGAAGCTGCTTTGCCTAGTGAAAGTCAGGGCAGGAATTTAAGTGTCAATCCATTTGAGTCTGTTTAAGATGAATGATCTGTCAAGGATCTTAATTTTTATCCATCTAAACCTTTGAAAAATTTAAATAGCCATGGTAGAGCATAAGGATTCAGGGCTCATTTTTGTTGGGTTTAGAGCATTGTTTCTCAATCTTCCTAATGCCGAGACCCATTAATACAGTTCCTTATGCTGTGGTGACCCCCAACCATACAGTTGTTTTTACTGATGCCTCATAACTGTAATTTTGCTATTGTTATGAGTCATAAAGTAAATATCTGATATGTGGCTCCTAAAGGGGACTCAACCCACACATTGAGAACTACTGGTTTAGAGTTTAATGCCTAGAATCTGTTTTGCTTGTTGCTTCCCGCACCTGCATTTGGGGATATGTTTGATGCCAGAATCTGGCAGTTTCCAGCGAAGCTTATGACAGCCCCATACTGCAAGTCATGTTAAAGCAATCCTTATACTGTCACCTGTCAGCCGATGTGGAGTAACAGAGCCCTATCTTGTAGCAGAACAGTAGGAGCGGCAACACTGACTTCTGTGCTTATGTCTTTGTCTTTCTCACCCTGTCTACCCAGCACTAGGTATTTATCCTGCTGGAGCAGAGTCAGGGGACAGACAGGGACTTGCCACGCAAGCAATGACCTTGCCACTCAGCACTTACTCAGTAGAGCAGTTTGCCTGCTGCCTACTGACTTTGTTTTTAGATGTTGGAAGCCTAGAATATATGTATGCCCAGTTTATTAGAACTCAACTCTGTAGTGCCAGTCCTTACATGGCCTATGTGCTTGATAGTCTTTTAAGTTCATTATTATAATTACACCAATTTACTTAATTAGCCTGAATCTTTTGTACCCTACATCTGATACTTTTTCTTTGTTTTCTCAAAGATGAAACTAGTTTATTGAAGACAATATGCAAAAAATATAAAAGCGCATTAAAGGAAACCCTATATAATACAGGGATAACCATTAAGTCATGTGTATATAGATTCATATTTACATAACATTTATTAATATGGCTAATTCTGTTTCAAACAAAAATTAAATTATATTCTGATAACTGCTTGTAAAGCCTTTTTATTTAACATTTTTGATAAGTGACTGAGGCAGATCACAAAAATTAAACATGAGAAAATTATTAAATTAGTTATTATCCCTTTGTCTAAGGTAAGGATTAGCAGACATTTAATTTAAAGGGCCAGGCAGTAAGTGTTTCTAACTTTGGGCACTGGATAGTTTTTGCAGCTTTTCAGTCTAAATGATAACTGCTCCAGAGTGCTCTAATAAAATTACACAAATGCATAATAGGTATGTCTAGCTTTAGGGACATAGTTTGCTGACCTTTCTGATAAAGATGTAGTAAGGTTTCTTTTTCAGAACTTTCTGTTTCTAAACCAGGTTGATCTTGAACTCACTATGTAGTTGAAATGGACTTGAACTCCTGATTCTCATGTCTCCATCTCCTAAGTGCTGGGGATTATAGATGTCAGTAACCATGCCTGGAGGAACAGGATAATGCTAAAAGTAGTTTCATTTATATACCAGCATATTTTCTTTAGTAATACTGAGAGGCATTAATAGTTTTTTAAAACATTTTAGCCAGAGGGCTAAATCATACAGGGTTTTGGTGAACTTTGAATAAAAGTACTGTCTAATGAATTAAAAATTCTACCATCAGAATTCTGATGAAGTTTTTAGTGATGTTTTAATTATGTTATTGTGTTTAATAAATTGAAGGAACAAATTTAAACATTAAAGATATTTAAACTATTATAATTTTAGCTAAAATACTTATAATTTTCTTTGACTTCCTACTATGTTATATATGTATGTGCTTTAATTCCATCTAATATTTGTCCTAAGGAAATAAAGCCATTTTGGGCATAGCCATTTATTTAAAAATAATATTGGTATAAAGTGACAAAAATGTTATCTTGTTGGAGTATCTCACCTTTGCAAATTTCTGTGCATGTGGTCAGTGTACAATTAGTGGTCCTGTTTCCCTCTGATTTACACGTTTCCCACTTTGGATCATACGCTGGTAGCTGGGCATACTACTTTGGAGGTATTTTTTTTAAAAACTAGGTTAGCATAGAAAATGGACGTAACTAATGAATTGTTGCCTTCATCTCTAATCTGTCACTAAATTATCTACACTATTTTTATGTAATTTGCATTCTTGTGATTACTATACTTGTAGTTCATTGCACATAGGTAAAACCAGCTTGACATTGATTATAATATTTTAAACCTTAGTTATGGTGTAGTTTTTGATATTGTAAACGATGGAGGAAATGGATTTTAAATGACATACCTTTAACATTAAATGCTTTTCTCTTTAATTTTAGCATGCGTATTACAGCAGAACTACAGTGTTAAGACTGCTTGAAAAGAAATATAAATCTCTGGTAAGCACATGTCTGTTTTTATGCTGAGAAGTAATATCACAAAAGGGATGTGATATAGTGCCTTAAGTATGCAAAGTTGAGTGGCAGTGATTAATATTGGGTAATGAAGCACTCCCTTTTAATGTGACCTTAAACTCCTCTTTTATGAAACGTAAAAAGATAAAAGTTGAGTCTTAAAGTACAATAAGGGAAACAGGAAATAGGCAAGTATGTGGCAAATTGGGCTGCCATAAATGATAGACTGGCTGGAGAGAAGCCATATTTTTAAGTATTCACATGTAATTTGGCTCAGGTTAGCTGTTAACAAAGGAATTACTTCTATAAAATCTACTGACACACTGCATGAAAGTGGTATTAAAAAGACTCAGTGAGAAATGCTTTTGTGTTTTCAAAAATTAATTTGAATTATATTAAATATAGCTAGATACCATTAATGTCTTACCCAAAATACCCATGTTCATTGCTATTATGTAGCAATGTATAATTGAAAAGAAATCAATAAAACTGATAATGACTGACAAACATGAAAACGATATGGAAAGAAATTGAAAAGAAATCAGTAAAATAGATAATAATTGACAAACATGAAAACATGTAATTAAAAAAAAACAGGCAGAACCTTGAGTCTAGAAGCTATAGGTAGGATTATTGGAATTGTGGATTTTTGGATTTGAGTAATGGAGCAAAAAGTGGACAAGGGAAAACTTGGTTTTGTGTTTGACACAGAAACCTGGAAGGAGAAGGAGAGAGGAACATTGACTAATGGCAGGGAAATTTATTTGTTGAGGCCAGTGGTCCTAGAAAATGTGTAGAACAATTGAAATTGATTCTTTTATATATTGTCTCTATGCAATTTCCATTGAAAGGGAGATTTGTTGCCATAAATACATAAATACATCTCTCGTAGGCAGGTCACTATTGTAGATCAAGGGATCTGTAGCTGGCCTGGTGTTTACCTCCTCCTTTGGTCATGTGCAGAATACCTTCCAGTAGTACTAGGAATACTAGTCAGTTGGGGTGAAGGCTCTAGGTAGGTACCAGTTTGACTTCTCCATGTTCGGTGAGTTATGTAGATGTTTTCTTTAGCAATCCTTACCATCAGTTTGTAGAGAGCAATCAATAGTCTTGGCAATATCTTGGGTCGTTTTCCATAGCACTCCTTTGACCAATGATTCAATTAGATGTAACCATTCCTGCCACCAGGAGTTTCACTTGGTGCTGAGAAATATTTAAGGCTTTGTCTCTCATGATATGTGGTTATTCCATTTAGATTTCTTCTCTGTGTATGTGTCTCTCTCTCTGTGTATATATACATATATATGTATATCACATACATACATACATAAATACATACATACATACAATTGGTGTTTTGCCTACATATCTGTCTGTATGAGGGTGTCAGATATCCTGGAGGTAGAATTACAGGCAGTTGTAAACTGTTATGTGAGTTCTGGGAATTGAACCAGGTCTTCTGGAAGAGTAGTCAGTGCTCTGAACAGCTGAGCCATCTCTCCAGCCCCATCATCTTTGTATATAGTTTAAGAAGTTTCTACTGTAGTGAGTTTCCTTATGATTCCCCCTCCCAATATTTCTTCCCTTAGTTTCTTCTCTCCCCTTTCTTATCTGATTCTCCCATTCCAGTCCCCTTTCCCCCATCCATCCATAGGTATTCTATTTCCCTCTCCTAGGGAGATCTCCCCACCCCCACCCCAGTACCTAACTTTATGCTCTGTGGTTATACAATTTGTAGCCTTAACAGGTAATACAGATTGAATAACATCCACATTTAAGTGAACAAATACTTAATTTGTATTCTGGGGTCTGGGTTACCTCATTCAGGATGATTTGTTTTCTAGTTCTACCCATTTAGCCATGGATTTCATGATTTCAAGCAACTTATTGTAAGTTACTCTAGGTGGTAGACACATTTTTGGAAAATGGGTTGTGAGTACTATAGATGAGTGTTAAAGAGTGACAATTAAAAGACTGAGCAGTAAGATAAGAAACAGGTGATGGAAGTATGACTTGAATCTGTGACAGATGATTTGTATAAAAAGAAGATTCAGGAATGCCATATTTAGGAGGTAGGATTTAGAGACTGGCTTTTGAAGGGGCAATTCGTGAAGCCTTGGATAAAGGAATGAATGATTAATGCCTTTAGCCGAGGTAAGTAACATAGTAGGACATTTTCTGAGAAAGATGATGATGCTTAGATGTAGTAGGTTTGGATGTAATGAGTTTGAAACGCAGACCTCACCAGGCGTAGATCTAGACCTCTGAAGTTTGGTTTAGGTAAGCTGGAAGTGGAGAAAGATTCTTAAGAAAGCTGTGGATTTGATGATTTTCTGGGAGGATTCTCAAAACCTAGGCTGCCATGTTTTAAAAGGAAAAGGAGCAAAATAAAAAGAAAAGATATATTGAGATGCCTAATGGAAGGGTAAGTTTCTACCCGTCTTCTCCCCAGTGAGTTCCCCCAGGCCAGCTTATGTCTCTCTCGCCACATCTTTGCTTGCATTTCCCACCTAGTTATGTTCTGCCTGGCCCCTGGCCAAAACAGCTTTATTCATCAACCAATAAAAGCAACACATATTCGCAGCACACAGAAAGACATCGCACTTTGACTAGGTACCTTTGCATTTTCAGTTCTTATCCTTTATTATACTCTAGCTTCCCCCACCCTCTCTTGAGACTGGTCTCCAGAAGTTTTATATCACCTAAGCCAACTCTCACCAGTTCTTATCTTACCAGAAATTAGAATTAAAAGTCATCTGTAAGTAATATGTCTGTGGTACAGGAGAAATGGCTCAGCGGTTAAAGGCATTTTTTGCTCCCGCAGAAGACCCAGGATCGCTTCCCAGCACCCACATGACAGCTCACAATCCTATAACTCCATTGTAACTTCTCTCCTGACCTCTCAGGGCAGATGCATGCTCTTGGTGCACAGAAACTCACACAGGCACATACACATAAGTAATAGAAATAAATAAAATAAAAATAACAGTATGTCTGTGAAGAAGAAGGTTGGAAATTTCTGCCATGGAGAATCGAGATATGATAATCAAGACTTTTGGGGACAACAGGAGTGCACATCATTTTTTATTGTATCTTTGTTCTCTGAAATTTGAATTTTTTAGATTAATTTTCTGCAATTGAATTTTTGGACACAGTGGCTATGTATTTCTGAAACCAATTTATGACTATTATTATTATGATGATTTTAATTAGATAACTACAGCAGTTCATCAGTGTGTTCAGTACTTGGAATTGTGTGAGGCCATGAAAGCTGATGGAATTTTGGGACATTCAAAGCATTGTGGTAAGTATTGTTTTCTTTATTTTGTATACTAAAATGGCTAACTTTATTATTAAAAACAGTTCAGTAATGGCTTACATTTCTTAAAAGTCTTATTTTAAAAATTATTGTATTCATTGTATGCGGTACTATATTGCTTTTAATATATGTGGTGAGTGCATTTCACCCCTGCCATATCCCTCTACCTTCCCCTTTCTTACTTCCTGTCCCCAGTCCCCTTTATTCTCCTAGACAGTTTGCTCTCTGCTCTAATATGGTGTGTGTGTATGTCTATGTGTGTATTTGTATATACATGATTTATAAGTAATGTGTATATATAATTTTATGTGTATGAAATGTAGGAACTAAAATGAGAGAAAATGTATTTGTCTAAGACTTAATTTCTTTTTCTTTTCTTTTGTTCTTTTTTTTTTTTTTTTTTTTACAAGACATGGTTTCTCTGTAGCTTTGGAGGCCATCCTGGAACTCAAGCTGTAAACCAGGCTGGCCTCGAACTCACAGAGATCTGCCCACCTCTGCCTCCCGAGTGCTGGGATTAAAGGCATGCACCACCAACACCCGGCCTGACTTAATTTCTTAATCTCTAGTTGAATCTATTTTCCTGAAAGTGACATAACTTCCTTTTTCTTTGTGTCTGAAAACACTATTCATTACCATCCCCAATTCAAATATAGTATATCTCCATTCCCTTGTTGTTAGATACCTTGGTTGGTTCTGTAATTTAGCTGTTGTGATAACATTGTTGTGTAGACATGTTTGTGATACACTGACTGAGAGTTCTTTGTGCAAACACCTAGGAATGTATCTGGATCATATGATATTCTTGTTTTGAATTTCCTGAGAAACCTCCGTACTGATTTCCACTAGGCTAATATACATTTCTAGCAACAATCTTAAGGTTCCCTTTTATTCACATCCTCATCTGAGGTAGTACTTTTACTACTTGTTATCTTTTTGTTAGTTTTATGTTATGTGTGTTTGCTTGTATATATGTCTGCACCACATTTGTGGAGGCATGAAAAGGCACTGGATTCCCTGGAATTAGAGTTACAGATGGTTGTGAGCTACCATATGGAGTGGTGGGAATTGAGCCCAGGTCATCTGGAAGAGCAAGTGCTCTTAACTACTGAGCCATCTCTAGACTATTCATAGCTTGTTTCCTTAATGACTGCTATTCTGATTGGTGTGAGATGGAATCCTGGTGTATTTTAGTTTGCATTTCAATGATGACTAGCGAGGCTGAATTTTCATACATTGTTCTATCAGTTCAATTTCATCTTTTGAGAACTGTCATTCATTTAATTCACTTGTTGATTGGGGTGTTTGATCTCCTGATCTTTTGTTTTTGGAGTTACTTGTATATTCTAGATATTAATTTTCTCTCTGATGTGTGGCTAGCACAGATTTTCCACTGTTAGCATCCAAATCACTGCTCGCTTTGTTGTACAGATGTTTTTGATGTAAAGTTCCATTTGTTGATTGTTGGCTTTATTTTCTAAGCAACAAAGTTTTAGTGAAAACTATCTTGAAGTGTCTTCCTAATTTTGGATCTGGAAATTTTCAAGCTTTGGGTACCATTTTGAGGTTTTGCATCCATTTTGAGATTATTTGTTCAGGTTGAAATATAAAGATATAGTTTCACACTCTATATGGAGATACAAATTGTCCCTGCACTATGTAGTGAAGGGGCTATCTTCTCTAGTGTGTATTTTTGACCCCTGTGTAAAAAATGAGGTGAGAGTTTTTATTTGAATTGTGTTGGTACCGTGAGGTTCTGTTACTGTGACTTTACTAGATAAGCTGAAATCAGGTCCTCTAGACTAACCCTCTTTGGTAAGGGTTTCTTTGACTCCCTAGAGTCTGTAGTACTTCCATGTGAATTTTGAGATTGCTTTAAATGTTTTTGTGACAAATGACACTAAAATTTTGATGGAAATTGGATTGAACCTGTAGGTTGCTTTTGGTAGTACAATCATTTTCATTTTGTATTTAATAGCTTCAGTATCTAAATTTTCTTTGTAGAGGTCAGTCACTTCTTTGGTTCAATTTATAACAAGGAATTTTTTTGAGACCGTTAGGAGTGAAATTGTTTTCCTGGTTTTATTCTTAGCATGCTTGTTTCTCTTAAATATGAAGGTTGCTGATTTTTTATGTTGGTTTTTGTATGTTAATTTTGTGTCCTGTCACACTGCTGAAAGTGTTCATCAGAGTTAAGAGTTTTCTTATGATGTCATTAGAGTATTTTATATGTAGAATAATTTTTGTATAGAAAGATGCATTGACTTTTTTATTTCTCTTGTCTTGTTATTGTAGCTAATAGTCTACTATGTAGCAGTTGGGGAAACTGGGTGACACCCTTGTCTTTGTTCCCAATCTTGGTGGAAATACTTTTGTATTTTATCCCACTTAGTATAGTTGATGGCTCAAGGTCTTTGTTATGTTGAGATATGCTCCTTCTATTCCTAGTCTCTTGAGGACTTTTGTCATGAAAGGATGGTGGAATTTGTCAAAAGCCTCAGATATATTTATTGAGTTGATTTTGTGGTTTCTCTGAGATGATTTTGTGATTTCTCTCAAGTTCATTTATGTAGTGGAGTGTAATTTTTGGGTTATATGTGTTAAACCATTCCTGTATCTCTGGAGGGAGTCAGCTTTGTCATGATTAATGATCAATTTGTGTTTTTGAGTTCAGTTTGGAAGCATTTAATTGAGAATGTTTACATGTAGTGTTCATCAGGGTGATTGGTCCATAATTCTTTTTTTTTATTGTTGTGTCTTTATTTGACCTGGGCAGCAGGGTAATAGTAACTTTGTACAAAGAGTTTCCTTCTTTTTCTACTGTATAGAGTAGTTAGAAAAGTCCAGGTGTTAGCTCCTCTATAAAGATCTGGGAGAGCCAATAGTGAATTCATGTAGCATGGACTTGTTTTAGCTGGGAGATTTTGTTTTCCTCTGCTTCAAACTCATTGCTTGCTCTAGGTCTCTTACTCTTAGTCAGAGTAAGAGCACCGGATGATCTTCAGAGGACCCTGGTTTAATTCCCAGAACCCACATGGTAGTTCCCAGCCATTTGTTCTTCCAGTTTTAGGGAATTTGATGCCCTTATAGCATCCAAGAGCACCAGGTAGTCACTAAACAGATGTGCAGGCAAAACACCCATACATGTAAAAAAATACATCTTTAAATTTGTGTATCTTCTATTAGTTTAATTTTGGTAAGTCATATCTGTCTTGAAATTCATTTGTTTCTTTTAGATTGTGTTTGTTTTTAAATGATATTTCGAATTTTCTTGGTATCTGTTGTATTACAATATTTTCTCTTTAATCCTTGTTTTTATTAACTTGGCTTTTCTCAGTCTTTTGATTAACTTGGCTATGTCTTTGCCAATCTTGTTTATCTTTTTCAAATATTAACTTGGGGCTGATGAAATGGCTCAGAGGGATAAAATTACTGCTCATGCAAACCACAGTGACCTGGTGAAAGGAGAGGACCCACTCTTGTAAGTTGTAGTTTTCAGACCTCTGCACAAGTGATGTGCCGGCATTTTTGCTTAACACACACACACACACACACACACACACACACACACACACACACACACACACACAAATAAAATTTAAAAAGTAAAATAAGAATCAACTTATTACTCTATGTCTTGTTGAATTGTATTTGTTTTTCACTTCCATGTCATTAGTTTCTGTGCTGATCATAATTTTTCCTTTTTGCTTACCGATTTTTAATTTTACCTGTTCTTGTTTTTACTAAGCTGTGTCATTATTTGTCTGATGTCTGTCTGGCTTGCTAATGTTGGCATCTATAGCTCTACGTTCCCTACACTTGTTGTGCACTGTAGCTATTACATTCTTATGTTTTAGTAATGACTTATTTGTTTATTGCTGGTATCATGGGAAGATAAATTAAATCTAAACCATGTGCTACAGTGACTTTTAGAAACATATGTATTTTCTTTGAAATGAATATGTAGCCATACTTGTTCTGTGCATCTCTTCACTATATATTTGATTGTAATGTTCTAACTGTAATAATGTATTGTCCTTTTCCCTCTACCATCAACTAACATCTGAAAAACAGATGATGCACAGTAAATTGTTGACCATCTAAGATAAAGTTCACTACTTTATAACCAATATCCACTACTGCAGTCGTTGTGGGTAAGGCGACCATTGGAGAAATAAACAAACAAAGCACTGGTACTCAAAGGAGAGCCTCAGAAGAGCACATCCATCGTACAAGGAAGTGAGAGTCATGTTCAGGCTATACATGGTTATTACTAACTCCTTCTGGCTACAGTCAGAGTGAGAGACCAGAAGATAGAATAGAATGGAAAGACGTGAAAAATGTGCAGTGTGCTAAGGAAAGAAGCTGTGTCCTTATGGAGAATTGACATAGCAGCTACAGACCATGGAGTGGTGAATCTTAGGGACTAGTGTCATGAACGAGAAACCTTACACTTTGTATTTGAATGATGTGAATGTTTGCTAGAGGGCAAGATACTGCCCATTAAAAACTCTAGGGTGTAGCAGTGCAAATGTATTTGAAAAGCAAGTGTGTGAAAATCGAGTGCTTGAAAAGATAGCACCTCCGTGGCACCCTGCTCCAATAGATTTGCTTAGTGAAATGTTTCCCTAGGTTTAGCTACCAGGGAAGATAGCCAAGGTAGCCATGCTAGCCAGGGTTCAGAGGGATCCAGTTGCATCTTGAGTTTACAGCAGAATTTTGCATCTGTGTGTATCTGTGTGGTGTTGCTTAATCAGGCTTGCAGGATTGCAAGTGTTTTGGGGTCTTGGAAGTATGTTGCAAGATTCTAGAAAGTTGTGGAGACCATGTAGTGTGTAGAGAAAGGTCTAGCAAGTGGCCCTAAGAGGCCGATCTGTGAAGTAAAAGTGAAGATATATATTGTGAAGACATATATTGTGGGAGAGCTCAGTATGTTGAAGATGCCAGGAATGGGGGACATATGTCTAGGAAAGCTTTAGGCACCA